ACTGATTAAGCTCTTTTCCAGCCCTATTTTAAAACAAACACTGGTTTAAAGGTCTTTATAAATTTTATAATCCATCAGCCAAGTTGCTAAAAAGTAAATGATCAAAGTCACTTTAGTTAAACCTTATAAACTGACTACAGCTTTTAGCTTCACTTACCCAATCCATCACTTAATCAGTTTAGCTTCAATTCCTTAATCCATAATCTTTTAGCTTCACTTTCCTAATCCATCACAAGATGATACACTACATGTATTTACAGTATGTACATGTTGAATTCACAGTATACACTATTAGTCATGTACTTGGGAAATTCCCTGTCTGCTTTAAACAGCACAGTGAACAAGGAATAACAGCACAGCATTCAGGCCTAAAAGCCCACCTCATGAGTAACTTAAAGGCTGGTAAAGTCATGTTCTGATAAACACTGTAACAGTACTGGCTAAGTATATTCAAACTACAGAACAGAGCTTCAAATCTGTATCTTGGAGCCTTCAGTACAATGTACAAGCTTTTTGTTTTAGAAAGCTTTAAGCTTTTGGATTATGATAATACATATCAACAGATGTAAAATGTGTCAGACATTATTGGGTGGTGTCTGAGTGTTATGGACCTGTCTAATCATCAGGCATCATCATTGTGATGCTGCATCTGCAGCTGGTCATGACCACCGGTTACAGTAGCCGTGGTGTCTGTACTGTTGTACACAACACCAGGTGTGGTGTCTGTACTGTTGTACACAACACCAGGTGTGGTGTCTGTACTGTTGTACACAACACCAGGTGTGGTGTCTGTACTGTTGTACACAACACCAGGTGTGGTGTCTGTACTGTTGTACACAACACCAGGTGTGGTGTCTGTACTGTTGCGCACAACACCAGGCTCTGGGGCAACAATAGAACGATTCCTGGACCACTTCTTCCAACAGATTGTTAGAAGGATGCAACCGATGAGGACAATGGCAGCTGCTGTGCCAACGATAGTGGCAATGGGATCTGGATCAGATTCAGGTTCTTCAGAAGGTGAAGAGTTGAAAAGAATGGGTACAGAGAAAGTGGGATCAGATTCTGTCTGATCTGAAGGTGTAGAGCTGGTATTGACTGGTGGGGAGGAAGTGGGAGAATGTGCAACATGATGTTCTGAAGACGTAAAGTCAACAGGTACAGAAGAAGAGAAAGAGGAAAAAGTCTTAGACGATGCAAGGATTTCTGAAGGTGTAGAGCCAATAGGTGCAGAAGAAGCAAGATTGCTGTTGCTTGTGGGATGGGTTGAAGTACCAGTGGTTCCTGTAGAGAGTGATGGTGACACATTGAATGTTGTAGTAGTGCTGAGATGGACATTCACAGAGAGTGTGGCAGATGCAGAGCCAGCCGGGTTGGTTGTGATACAGGTGTACTGACCAGCATCTGCTGCAGTAACACCTGAAATGGTGACTGTAGCTGTGGTATTCTTCACCTCCACCCTCCCTCCTGGCTCAGCAGTTGTATTCAGTCCAGATGGGAGGGTGACTGTGATGTCTGGTTTAGGCATACCTGAAGCTTCACAGACCAAATGGAGAGTCTCCCCCTGTGCCAATGTGTCATTGTCAACCCTGTGAAAGCTTAGAATGGTTGGCTCTGTACATTTTAAATCTTCAGGATTGATATCTCTCAGTTTTTCCCTTGGAACATATCGGGTTGGGAACAAATTATCTGATATTCAAATGAACGAGACCCACTCATCTTAAGGAGAAAGGGAAGCATCCTACAGTCACACCACCAGGGGTTGTGCCGAAGGTATATTTGAG